TTTTTCCTATGTTTTCTTCTGGTAAAGTTTTAGGTTTTCCATTTACATCTATGATCCATCTTGAAACTTTTTTTTTTTCTTTTTGGTATATGGCATGAGGAATAGATCAATGTAAGGACAGCGGATAGAATCAGGCACGAAGATTATATAAAATGAGAAGTGCAAAGGGTGGATGGAAGCCGGGAAGAAAACAGCCGAGGCTTAAGGAAGCGGAGTTGGGCAAAAAGACACGCAGCATTGTTGGAGAAGCACGGGGAAAATTCTAAGTAATCAACATTGTCTACTAAGATAAGGAATAGACATTGTCTTTTTAACTTGGCTGAGGTCCCTAGTGACCTTATGAAGAGCATTTTCAGTCAAAACAAATCTTTCCGATAAAGGAACTACATCTAACCAACCTCTTTATAAGAATTCCCCCTGTGGAAGCACTTAAGGCGAGGTTTGAAATCCCTGAGCACTCTTAAAGGTCACTTCTTCAGGCACAGGAGGGTCTGGGATTCCCGACACTGAGGATGACTGAGGTAGACCCTCGGGGCACGCCGGCTCCGGCATGAGGTCCTGGGAACAAACTCAAGCCGTCACCGCCCCACTAGGAAATCAGAACCACACTCAACCGCTTAATTTGCCAATCTGAAGCCTCACCAGGGAGGCAGCTGATGAAACCGTAGCAGAATGAGAAGGCGGGGATTAAATTCTGTGCACTTGGGCAAACCCTGGGCACACCCAGGGCAGATGAGGGACGTCCCTCCCACCCCCACCTCCTGGTGTGTACGGAGGTGCAGCGGCGCAGGGCGCGGGGCCCCCACCGACTCTCCCGACGCGCGGGGCTCCGCCGCCCAACCTCGGGTCAAGCTACTGCCGAGCCAAGAGCCACTGCACTTACCCGGGGCCAGGACAGGGAAGTTTAAACCACTGGTTAGGGGGATCTTGGGCACTCCCAGGACTTTCCCACAGGCCACATAGGGGACGTTTGACCGACTCCTCCAGGCCGACTGACCTTCCCCTTCCTCGCGCCAGAGGCCGGCAGTTCATTACCAGGGGAGTCCGCTCGCCCATAACCTCCAGCTAGTCGTAAAGTGCAGTAAACGCGCCGATGTTTGCGGCACCGTAGGTGAGGCCGGCGGCGTGGGCTCCCGCTCGGCGCGGGTCCGCCGCTTTGGCAACTGCTCATGCAGGAAAACAGCAGTTAGGAATTTGGGGAGCACAGGGAACCAGCTACGATTTTCTCAGCGGGTCATTGGCCGCCCCTAGATAACGGGTAGGGTTGTTTGAAACACTTATTCCAATGCTTACTTAAGCACGGCCTATGGTTCTCAGACCTCCCTCGTGACAAGCCGCTCACCTTCGTGTTCATCACTAGATTTTAGGTATCCTCGGTGTAGCTGACATTGCTTTTCTTGTTCACTTCGTCCTGCAGTCTCTCTCCCCCTGGAGTTCGAAATGCTTTACCTGATCGGTTTGGGCCTGGGAGATGCCAAGGACATCACAGTCAAGGGCCTGGAAGTCGTGAGACGCTGCAGTCGAGTGTATCTGGAAGCCTACACCTCAATCCTGACTGTAGGGAAGGAAGCCTTGGTAGGTGCTGAAGGTTCCCCAGACTCCTGGGAAGAAAGCTATCTAACATCTGATTTTCATATACTAAGCTGAACAGAATTTTCAGGTCTGTTGCTTTAAACCATTTTAAATGAACACATCTCCTGTTCATTAAGGATCTGAGGAGTACAAAAATGGAAATCATACACCAACCAAGTGACTTGGAAAGTGAACGAGTGCTTTGTCCTGCTTTACAAGTGTAATTCTGTGGCTTTCTGCAGAAAATAGGAAAGGAAAGTTATTTTACACTCCTGGGGAAGGGCTATCAAAGTTCTTTATTTCATGAGATAGCCAAGAAAGCCTTCCTGAGTTGAGTGCTAATGAGGTGCTGCTACAGCTTTAATGAGTTGGTTTTATATTCAGAAACCAAGCTGAAAACTTCCTCCTTTGAAGTATTTCCGTAGGGGATGATGATCGCCTTTCTGTATCATATCCAGAGAGATCTTACCTTTAAATAGATATATCCCACTGTGTACAAGGCTTATACACATACATTTGTATATATCGAGTGAGCTTGGAACTAAGTAACCAGAGGATTTGTTAGTGTGTTATACGTTTAGTGGGCACTCATACTCAGTAAATTTTGATGGAAGGTTCAAGTTCAGGTTCATTGTCAAACTCAGATAGAATGTAAATTAAGATCAAAAGATTAATGAGGGCCGAGCCCGTGGCGCACTCGGGAGAGTGCGGTGCTGTGAGCTCAGCAGCACTCCCGCCGCGGGTTCGGATCCTATATAGGGATGACCGGTGCGCTCACAGCGTTCACTGGCTGAGCGCGTGCGGCCCCTCTCAAAAAGGACAAAAAAAAAAAAAAAAAAAAGATTAAATG